CCCTGGGCACTGGCCCCAGAGCTCCTCTTTCTCACGGGTGAGTGGAGGCCTGACACCGTCCCTGTCCGCTGAGCAGGAGACTGTCCCCTTCCCACTGTCATCCCACCCTCAGCTGGGCCGAGCTGGCTGTGCCTGAGGCTGGCAGTTACCGTGGTGCCACCTTCCTGTGTTTCTCCGTCAGCATCGGGGCTGAGAGGCATGCTCTGCAGGCGCCCGGGTGATGGGGTGAATGCTCTCTCTCCCCGCATGTGCCCTGGAGCAGGCTGGTGGGAGCAGGTAGCTGCCCTCGAGGCCTCAGAGAGCCCACTGGTCAGAGCCGTGACCCCTCCATGTGGCTCCTGGAGGATGAGGCCCCTGTCCCTCCTGGCCACCTGAGCCTCTTTCTGTCCTCTCCCCCTCCCTCCGTCCTGCTCCTGGGCAGGGCCCCTGGCCCCTGAGGGCTGGAACGCAGGCCTGAGAGCTCCCTGTGGGAGCAGAGCCTGGCGTGGGTACCCCAGGGAGGTGGCAGGGCTGCCCCGAGCTGTGGGCATGACAGCTCGCCAGGGACCCTGCCGTGCTGGGCGGGTTTCTGGAGTCACCATCATTTGTGGCCTCTCCCGGGGACCATGTGACTTCAGCTGTGGAGACCATGGCGGTCAGGCCTCCCAGGACCTGGTGGGGCCTTCGGTACAGGAGGCAGGAGAGCACCGGGGAAGGAGGGCACCCTTGCCCAGGGGCCAAGTCAAGTAAAAAGACGTGCAGGTGTAGCGATGAGTGCTGTTGGGTGCTCTCAGCAGTGTCTGACTGCGTGCTCTGACTGTGTGCTCTGACTGTGTGCTCTGACTGGGTGCTCTGACTGTGTGCTTGACTGCGTGCTCTAACTGGGTGCTCTGACTAGATGCTCGCTGTCAGAGGAAAGCCAGGCTGGCCCATAAGAGCTCAGGCCTCTGCCACAGCTGCACTCCTGGGACCAGGGCTCCTGGGGTGAGGGAGTGGGAATGTCTGTCGCTGAAGGCCATCTCAGGCATACCGAGTTTGTGAGTAGGACGGTGCCGCAGGTAGCTAAAGGTGTACACATGGGTGTGCAGGGCTGCCCCTGCAGGATTCCTCCTCTCTCTGTTGCTGCCCGATGCAGAGGCCTGGGTCCCCCAAGGCCCAGCTTGTTGAGACCACATGAGAGAGCACTGTAGTAGGAGTGACCCTCCAATCTCAAGCTAAAGTCTCTTGAAGAGGTTGCAAAAGGGAATTTCATTCGTAATCCTCTGCAAACAGCACCTAAAGCTCTCTTCCCCCTCTCCCTGGGTCTCTCCCAGCACGGGGGCTGCCTGAGACCCCCTCTCCCTCTCTCAAAGGCTCAGAAGTCTCCAGACCCAGGCTGCCCCGCTGAGCTGCCCTCTTCTCCCCCTGGGCCCTCAGTTCGGGCGGCTTCCATGCTGTCCATACTTGGGTACAATGTGACCCTTAGCAGGTGTGCACACATGTGCATTACACACGTGTGCATACGCTGTGCATGTGTGTGCACGGTGTGTTATGTATGTGTGCACACTGCATACACTCACGTACCGTGCATGTGTGTGCTGTGCATGTATACACGCTGTGTATGTGTGTTTGCAGTGTGTGTGCTGTGTATGACGTACATGTATGCACACCGCATGTGTGCATGCTGTGTTCTATGCATGTGTGTGCTGTGTATGTACTGTGTGTGTGTGCTCTGTGCATTCTGTGCGTGTTCTGTGCATACTGTGTATGTTTGTGCACATTGTGTGTGTGCATGCATGTACACTGTGCATATGTGCTTTGTTTGAGTGTGTGCTATGTGGGCAGTGTCTGTGTGCATGATGGAGGGCAGTTGCAAATGCTCAGCAGGTGAAGTTTTTGTCTGAGGCCCCACAAAGGCTCTGACCCGAGTTGTGTTGACTCAGAGCTCCAGACTGTCCCCGCTGCGGTGGCCTTGCCCTGTGAGGGAACTCAGGGTCTGTGTGAGTTAGAGGGGCAATGGTGCCCTCTCCTGGCACCTCCTGGCCAGAGCGGCCTGCAGCCTCCACAGGGGGGAGGCCAGTGACTCAGAGCACCCACGGGCCAAGGAAACCACGTGGGTCACCCTCTGAAACCAGAACTGTGGTCGTGGGGAGTTGTCCACAGCACACGGGTCTCCGGTGGAGTGCGGGGCCCCAGTCCCCCCAGGAGCCAGGGACAGCACCGCAGAGCAGGCGCCTTTGTTATTTCATCCCACACACAGCGAGTCTAAATGTCAGCAAACTGTATTCAAACCTGTAACACGTTCCATCCCGGGGAGCACCGTGGGCCAGGCCAGCTGGCAGGGGTGCGAAGGTCACTTTCAGCCTCGGGCATCCAGCAGTCCAGGGACTAACCCAGGGAGGCTTCCTGGAGGCAGTGACCCAGGACTGGACTTGGAAACCCTAAGATTTCCTCAGCCGAGTTCCTTCCCATGAGCTTCTGTTTCAACCTCTGAAGAATGCAGGGTGGCTCCAGGCGGTGGCTCTCGGCCTCCCGGGTCTCAGAGAGCCGGGAGGCCGCGGGCCTGAGGGGGTGCCTGCAGCACGTTCGGCGAGCCCGAGCCCACCCTGGAGGGAAGCCGCGGTGGGCACTCCCATCCTGCCTGGCGCTCTGCCCTCCTGGCACAGGGTTTCCGGAGGATTCCAAGGCGCCTCCAGGTGTCTGGCCGGGAGGCTCAGTGGAGGTGCTTGGGGAGGGAGTTGGTTCTGTGTGTGCCCTCCTGCGGCCTTCTCATGGCAGTAAAATAATGACGACTGCGGTTTGGTCTGCACGGAAGGGAAGCTGAGGCCAGAATGGCCCAGAGCTCATCCCATTGGGCCCGAGAGCAGGCTGGGCGAGGGGCAGGGCAGCATGGGCAAGGTCAGCACGGGGGGCCTGGGAGCCCTGCCCCGGGCGAGGGCGGGCACGTGGCTGCCTGGGGCAGTGGCACCTGCTTGCTAGTGACCAGAGAGGGCGTAGCCTGACCCTGGCACCACCAAGGCAGGAAGGCCCAGCTCCTCACTCCGACCTCAGCCCACGTGTGTGTGTGTGTGTGTGTGTGTGTGTGTGTGTGTGTAGAGGGGAAGAGTCAGGCCACACCCGCAGCACGAGGGAGGACTAGCTTTCAAGGCCTCGGGCTGGCAAATCCCCAGAGAGCCCCTTCCCGGTGCGGCTGCTGCCTCAGGCAGTGAGGCCAGGGCAGTCCTGAGGGTTCTAGGCGCAGTGGCGGGAGGTGGGACCCCTGCTCCATCACACGTGGCAGCCCCAGCACAGGAGCGCCCAGTCCCCTGACCGCTGCCCGGCACCTATGTGACAGGCACATCAAACCCAACGTGCCCCAGGGCACACTCCAGATCTTTCCTCAGCCCACACTCACGCTTTCCCGGGCTGGGTAGTCGCTGGCCAGAGACCGTCCGCAGTGTCCGAAGGCGGCCCCTCCGCCTCCGCTGTGACTGGCAGCGACGTCGGACATCGGTTCCCGAGTTCCGCAAAGAAAAGCTTTCGGAGCCGGGAACTCAGATTCTAGGAGAGTTTATTTAGAAAGTCGTAGAGGTAGGAAAGGCCCTTGGAGCTTAGGAGGGAGAAAGGCGGAGGCAACACGCCTGGGGGAAGGGAGGGAAGGGAAGGGAGAGCCTGCTGGGTCCTTCCTCTGGAGGGTTTTAAAGGCTGGGCATTGCCCCAGCTGGTTTGGCTCAGAGGATAGAGCGTCGGCCTGTGAAATGAAGGGTCTCTGGTTTGATTCCAGTCAAGGGCACATGCCCTGGTTGTAGGCTCAATCCCCAGTAGGGGGCATGCAGGAGGCAGCTGATCAATGATTCGCTCTCATCATTGATGTTTCATTCTTTCTCTACCTTTCTCCTTGAAATAAGTGGAAATATATTAAAAAAATAAAAATAATAAAAAAATCAAGGCTGGGCATTTAAGGCAGTTAGGGGAGGGTCTCAGTAGAATAGTCTCCAGCTCTAAGCAGATGAGCCAAAGTGAGACTGATTCCCCTGACTCGGTCCGTCTGTGGGTGTGGTCAGCCAGTGGCACTCATTGGATGTCTGCTCCTGCCTCTGAGCTGGGTGCTCTAAGCTCTTACCCTCTGGCTGGGAGGGAAGGGTAAGTGCCCTGGCTTAGGGAAGACAGGTTTGGGGATTGACTAGTGGCTGAAAACTGGTGGGCTGGTTAAGTATCTGTCTCAGGTTCCCTGTTCCACTTGCCCAGGCTTGTTGACCTGTCTCAGCACCCTCTGACCTGGACAATCTCTCCGCAGCTGGTTTTCGGGCCCCTCATTGCTGGGTCTCCACGTGGCAGCCAAAGTGACCTCCATCCATAGTCGGGCCACTCCCGTGCTCAGCGCTCCCTCTCCTCCTGCCTTATCAGAGAAACAGATGCCGCACCCTGGCCCCGGGTGCCCGGTCCGGCTGGTCCCTCTTCAGACCACTCTCCCTGCCCACCCCTCTCCACACGCTGGCCTCAGGGCCTTGGCACCTGCCATCTTTATGCTTCGAACGTTCTTTCCTCAGCCCGGACAGCCGCACAGCGGACGCCATCAGTGCGTGCCCCGGCCCCTGCCTGAGGCGGCTGACCCACCCCACGCCCGTGTCCAGTTCTCCTCGGCACAGGCGTGTGGCTCTTTTCTGCCAGGGGGCCCAATCCAGGGCCAGGCTGTGTGCCCGTCACTGGAGTGAGGCCTGGGGCCCATGGAGCAGGTGCCGAAGGCACCCGGCGGCTGCACACCCGTCCGCCTGAGCTGATGTCTGTGATTTTTTAAAAAAGATTTAAAATTGATTCTTAGAGAGTGAGGAAGGGAGGGAGAAAGAGTGAAACATCGGGGTGAGAGGGGAGCAGGTTGGCTGCCTCCTGCACCTGCCCTGACGGGGATGGAGCTTGCAGCCTCTCAGGGCACAGGATGGTGCTCAGCAAACGGAGCCCCACCGGCCAGGGCTCCAGCTGATGTCTGACGGCACCTCACTCCCCTGGGGGCCGGGGACCTGGAGGAGCCTCCTCAATGCCTTAGGGCTGCTCCTCTCTCACAGGAAGTAATGCCCCAGACGTCCATCCTCTGCTCCGGCGTGCTCGGGCCCAGCGGTAGCGGACAGGCGCCGCCTGGCATGGGGGAGCGAGGAGGCGGGGCCGGCGGCTCCGGGGACCTCATCTTCCAGGACGGCCGCCTCGTCTCGGGGTCCCTGGAGGCCTTGATGGAGCACCTGGTCCCCACGGTGGACTATTACCCTGACGTGAGTGCCGGGGCCCGGGGGCGGGGGGACCGGGCTGCAGGGGCAGTTGTTCCGGGACATGGGGGGAGTGTGAGGGGAGGGGAGCGGTGGGCTCGGGACAGGGGCTTCCCTGTGGCCTCCAGGAAGGTGGGAGATGGTGGTGCCAGCAGGCGACAGGCTCTGTGCAGGGCCTGGGGAGGAAGCGGGGTCTAAGGGGCAGCCAGTGCTGGGCAGTCCTGTGAGGACGGGGAGTCAGTGCCCCGGCCCTGAGCTGGGGAGTTTGCGCACGAACTGCCAGAGTCCAAAGTGAAGAGGGGACCCCAGCATCCGGCCCCGCCAGCACCCGCACTGCAGGGCCAGCGCCCACCTGCCGGCCAGCTCCGCCCTCTTCACCTCAACGTGAGAGAGAGAGGAATTCCCTTGTCATGTGGGGGCCCCTCTGCCTCTGAGAGCCGTGGCCTGCCTGTCCCTTTGAGAGCCAAGTGTGCTGGCCCTTCTGGTCCCACTTCGTCCCCAGGCAGAGCTGGGCTTCCTGGCCTTTGTGAGCCAGACGTAGCCCAGGGAAGAGGGGAGAAGCCGGGCTGGTGTGGCTCAGTGGTTGAGCATCGACCTGTGAACCAGGAGGTCAGGTTCCGTTCCCGGTCAGGGCTCAGGCCCAGGTTGCGGGCTCGATCCCCAGTGTGGGGCGTGCCGGAGGCAGCCGATCAATGATTTTTCTTTCATCATTGATGTTTCTCTCTCTCTCCCCCGCTTCCTCTCTGAAATCAATAAAAGTCGATTTAAAAACGGAAAGTGGGGGAGGAGTTCCCCCACCCCCCATGCCCTCCAGCTTTTATCTGATGGTGCTGGAGACCATTGAGCTTCTGGGGAGTTCAGGCCTACCCACCAGGCCAGACACCACCTTCCTGCTGGGGTGCTGTCTACTCTTCCATCCACAAACCCTTCGACCCATCCACAACCCCCTCCTTCCACCCACAACCCCTCTCAGGGCCTGCGGGCGGCTCCTGTCACCTGAGCCCGGGCGTGTGGGGTGGAGCGGCCTCGGGTGGCAGTGGGCACGGGCCCAGGGAGAACCTGGAGAAGCAGGCTTGGAGCCAGGCCGGGGAGCACGGGGGGCTGGCAGCAGGCTCACCCAGGATGGAGGGTCCTGCCAACATCTAGGGTTGGGGTAGCGCCCATCGTGGGGCAGGACGGAGGGCGAGGAGGGGCCCCGTGGAGTGAGACTGCGGGGAGCTGAGCTCACCGGGGGTGGTCTGAGCCTGGCAGCCACGGGGCGCCCACGGTGAAGTAAGCCATGCAAGGCCACGCCGCTGCCTGGTGGAGCCAGCAGGGACGAGGGGAGCAGCAGGCATGGGGCCCATGCCTAACCCACACTTGGCCCTCTCTCCCTTTCCTTTTCTCTCCTCCTCCTTCAGAGAACATACATCTTCACGTTCCTCTTGAGCTCCCGGGTCTTTGTGCCCCCTCACGACCTGCTGGCCCGCGTCGGGCAGATCTACCTGGAGCAGAGGCAGCAGCTGGAGGCCGGGGCTGAGAAGGTAACGGCGCGCTGGCTGACGCACCTGCCGGTGCCCTGGCTGCCCCCTCGCCGAGCGCAGCTGGCAGCATTGGCCGAGCCCGGCCCGGCTCCCCCTGACGTCCTGGGCGTGCTCACCTCCCAGTGGTGGGCATACCCCCCTCTCCTGATCAGGGCCAGGCCCCCCACAGAGGCCTGGCTCCAGTTGGTGCAAAAGAAGCCAGAGGGGCCTGGGTCCCTGCCCCTCTGGGTCGGGGGCAGCAGCCTCAGGCTGGTGTCTGCTCATGGGCGTTCTCAGTGACGCAAACAGGGCCATTTGCCACTGTGGTCCAGTCAGGAAACCGCAGCTCCAAGGCCCTGGGTCTGAGGGTGAGGCTTCAGAAGCCCAGGGTCGGGGCAGAGGGGTGGCAGGCAAGCTGTCAGGGAGCTGGCGGCCCCCCGGGCTGCGCAGAGCTGGCCTGACGGGGACTGACGACGCTCCCTCCCCCTCCTTCCCCGAGGCCGGCTCTGCAGGGTTGTGGCAGAGGCCTGTGAGGCTGGGCCTTCCGAGTCTCCTCTGCAGAGGGGCTGTCCCGGGTGGGCGGGCGCTGTGGGCACGAGGGAACAGACAGCGGCTGAAGTTTGGGGCTTTTGAAATGAGTTCACTTAAGTGAAAAAGAGAACTACTGCCTTAGGGATGCCAATGATGGTCGTTGGCACCAATTCAGTGCCAACAAGAATCTCTAGTTTGGGGAGTGGTTTGGGGAGTGCAAGCAGCTCAGTTAGGAGACAGCATGGCTGTGACAGCAGCCCAGTGTGGGACAGCTCTGAGCCGTGGCACAGCACAGGTCCGGAGCAGCACGGCTGGGAGGCAGCTCTGGGTGCTGTGGGCGCGCCGGCCAGCCAGTGACATTTCACCTCCAGCCAGGAAGACGCAAGCTTCCGTGGAAAGGGGAGGTAGGGCCCCCCTTCCCCTCCACCCCAAGCAACAGGGGGCTGACATTATATATAGAGAGGTCCCTGTCCCTAGTCCCTCATTGGTCTGTCCTTATGCAAATGACTCTAAATCCTCACAATTTGATTGGTCCAAAAGCACTGTCTGGATTGGCCAGAATGGAGTGGCTCTGATGGTGTTAATGGAGATACAGCTGCGCAGGTCTGATCGGATGGGGAAAGTGTCATTCTGTTGGTTGAAATAGGATTGCAGGAACTTCATTAGCTTGGCTCCAATGGCAGGAACCTGGTGCAGATGGGCAGTTCAGTGTAGGCTTCTCCCTCCCGTGGGGCCTGCATGAGAGACCCCTGTTTAGAGACAGCTGCTTGGCTGTTTTTAAAAAATGTGAGCCCAGTTAGCTGCCAGGAGCCCTTCTGGGCAGGTATCTTCTTTCTCAGGGTCCCCAAGGCGAATGTGCACCAAAGCAGGTCTGACAAGACTGCAGGTGCCCTGTTGGGGGGCGTGTTCCCCCTCTCCTCCCCCCCCCGCCCAGTGGTCCTGAGGTTGGCATACCACTTGTCCTGTCACGCACTCTGGTGGTCAGGCCTCCCTTGCCTTCCCCAGGCCACGCTGAAGTCCTTCTCAGCCAAGGTCGTGCAGCTGCTGAAGGAGTGGACAGAGGCCTTCCCCTGTGACTTCCAGGACGAGAAGGCCATGGCGGAACTGAAGGCCATCACCCAGCGGATCATGCAGTGTGATGAGGTGAGGGCCCCGGGCTCAGGTGGAGCTCCGGGTGAGTGTGTGTGTGTGTGAGTGAGTGTGAGTGTGAATGTGAGTGTGTGAGTGTGTGTGAGTGTGTGTGTGAGTGTGTGAGTGTGTGAGTGTGTGTGTGTGTGAGTGTGTGTGTGTGTGAGTGTGTATGTGTGTGTGTGTGCGTGTGAGTGCGTCTGTGTGTGAGTGTGTGTGTGTGAGTGTGCATGAGTGTGAGTGTGTGTGTGTGTGTGAGTGTGTGTGTGAGTGAGTGTGAGTGTGTGTGTGTGTGAGTGTGTGTGTGTGAGTGTGTGTGAGTGTGCGTGTGTGTGTGTGAGTGTGTGTGTGAGTGTGTGTGTGTGAGTGTGAGTGTGTGTGTGTGAGTGTGTGTGCGTGTGAGTGTGTGTGTGAGTGTGTGTGTGTGTGAGTGTGTGTGTGTGTGCGTGTGTGTGCGTGTGTGTGTGAGTGTGTGCGTGTGTGTGTGAGTGTGTGAGTGAGTGTGTGTGCGCGTGAGTGTGTGTAAGTGTGCGTGTGTGCATGTGTGTGTACACGTGTGTGTGTATGTGTGTGAGTGTGTGTGTGTGAGTGTGTGTGTGAGTGTGTGTGTGCGTGTGTGTGCGTGTGTGTGTGAGTGTGTGAGTGTGTGTGCGCGTGAGTGTGTGTGTGTGTAAGTGTGCGTGTGTGCATGTGTGTGTACACGTGTGTGTATGTGTGTGTGTGTGTGTGTGTCTCTGTGTGTGTGTGTCTGTGTGTGTGTGTGTGTGTGTCTGTGTGTGTGTGTGAGTGTGTGTGTGTGTGTCTGTGTGTGTGTGTGTGTATGTGTGTGTGAGTGTGTGTGTGTGTGTCTGTGTGTGTGTGTGTGCGTGTGTGCATGTGTGTGTGTGTGTGTCTGTGTGTGTGTGTGTGTGTGTCTGTGTGTGTGTGTGAGTGTGTGTGTGTGTGTCTGTGTATGTGTGTGTGTGAGTGTGTGTGAGTGTGTGTGTGTGTGTGAGTGTGTGTGTGCGTGTGTGTGTGCATGTGTGTGTGTGTGTGTGTGTGAGTGTGTGTGTGAGTGTGTGTGTGTGTGTGTGAGTGTGAGTGTATGTGAGTATGTGTGTGTGTGTGAAGGCTCCCTAGGGACAGCTCTGGGCCTGCTCTGGCCCTCAGACCCCTTCGTCCCAGGACAGCCCGCTGAGCCCCGTCCAGAGGGCCTCCGAGGAGCCCACGCTGTGCGCCCTGTCAGCCTAGGTGCTCAGGGCGGGTTTGGGTCGGCGTGGGGGCTCGGCGTTGGGCGTGTCCCTGGCGACGAGGTGGGTCCCTCCTGAGGTGGTGGTCACGCCGCCAGCCCGGCCGGCCCTCCACGCCCCTGCCCGCAGGAGAACGGCACCGTGAAGAAGGCCGTCGCCCAGCTGACGCAGAGCCTGCTGCTGTCCCTGGCCGCCCGCAGCCAGCTGCAGGAGCTGCGGGAGAAGCTCCGCTCGCCCGCTGTGGACAAGGGGCCCATCCTCAAGGCCAAGCCCCCGGCCTCCCAGAAGGACATCCTGGGCGTGTGCTGTGACCCCCTGGTGCTGGCCCAGCAGCTGACTCACATCGAGCTGGTCAGTGCGCGGGGCCGCTCAGGGGGCTGGGTGGGCGGGTCCTGCGGGTCCAGAGCCACGAGCCCCCCAGCGTCCTCAGTGTCAGCACCACGGGGCTCCCCGCTGGGCAGGCGGGGGTCAGGGGAGGCCCACCCGTCCGATCACCGCCTCTGGCTGACTGTCCGCCTCGCAGCAGCTTCCCCTGTGCCTGGCATCCAGGCCCCCGGGCACAGCAGCCCTGAGCTAAGGGGAGGGGGAGGGTGGCCAGGACTAGAGTGGCCCCAGGATGGAGGTGAGGGGCTTTGAGGGGGAGGCCAGTTCTCCTACTGTCACCGCCTCCTGCCTGAGCCTGGGCAGGGCAGGTCTGTACATGGCAGCCACGGACCCGGGCTTCCCTCTGCTCCTGAGGAGGCCCTTCCCGACCTCTGGGTGCTTTGGAGGGGCCTGGACAGAGGTTGCCCATTGGTGGGGTGGTGCTCAGAACAAGGAAGGGCCCCTGCACATGCCTGCAGACTAGTTCTGGCTGCTGCTCAAACACGCCCTGCGTGTGGGGCCTCCCGGCCGGAGGCTGACCCGCCCGTGCTGTCTCCCGCCTCCCAGGAGCGGGTCAGCAGCGTCCACCCCCAGGACCTGATGCAGATCGTCAGCCACATGGACTCCCGGGACAAGCACAGGGTGAGGGGCGGCGGCTGCGGGGGGGCCTGGGCCTCCATCCCGTGCACGGTGGGCGGAGACCCCACGCAGCACGCCTGGGCACCTCTGGGTGTCTGACCCGTGGGTGCTGTCTGGCGCCTGCTCTGGGAGGTCAGCGGAGGCCACACGGAGAGATGCATGCTGGGAGGCGAGCCCTGGGCATTGTGGAGCCCCAGGCCAGCCAAGGGGACCTGTCCAGTTGCCCCCACTCGATGTCACTTGCAGTTTCCTCCTCTGGACGAGGTCCGGGCCCCTCCGCCTCGGGGCAGGGCTGGCCGCTCCGCCAGCAGCGTCCTGGGCTCCCGGTGACCCGCTGTGTCCTCCCCAGTGCCGAGGGGACCTGGCCAAGACCTACAGCCTGGAGGCCTACGACAACTGGTTCAACTGCCTCAGCATGCTGGTGGCCACCGAGGTGTGCCGGGTACGCACCGCAGGCAGCCGTGGGCAGGGCGCCCGTCTCTCCCCCGCCCCCCAGGGCCGCCCGACACCCCCGGGGCTCCCGCCCCTCAGACGTTGAAACTTTGCAAGTGGAGATAAGGAGCCTCCACTGCCAGGGCCTTGGAGCTCTGCCTCCTGTCTACCCCCCGCCCCCCATGTCTGACCCACCCACGGAGTGCACCCTGTGCCCAGCTCCGTCTCTGAGCTCACCTGGGGCCCTCAGTCCTCTCGCCACCCTCCTGCCCTCTGCCCCGCATCGGACACGCCACAGCTGTTTCCTGCCTCTGCACCCCCTCCCCCGGGTCTGACCGCGCTGTGGGCCCTGGGGCAACTCCGGCCCGAGGCCCTCAGGGGCTGGTGGCGGAGGGCACGGCCCGGGGGCCCACGCTGAGGCCGCCGCCCGCCCGCCCGCAGGTGGTGAAGAAGAAGCAGCGGACCCGCATGCTGGAGTTCTTCATCGACGTGGCCCGGGAGTGCTTCAACATCGGCAACTTCAACTCCATGATGGCCATCATCTGTGAGTGTCCGGCCGGCTGCCCCGCGCCCCCCCCGCCTGCCCGCCCTGACCCGCCTGCTCTCTCTGCAGCTGGCATGAACCTCAGCCCCGTGGCTCGGCTGAAGAAAACATGGTCCAAAGTGAAGACGGCCAAGTTCGATGTCTTGGAGGTAGGCACCCCGCCCCCCCTGGGTGGGCCTCAGGAGCCGGGCCTCCACCCCCTCCGCCCTTTGCTCAGGGCCGGGCCGCCGTGCAGGCGGGGGCTGGGCTTCCGGCCTGCCCCGCCTGGCCACGCTGGGACCGGGTCGCTGCCGCTGTCCTCGGCCCTGACTCAGTCAGGCCCCGCATCGCCCAAAGCTGCTTCCGGGAGCAGTTGCTAATGAGTCTGACAAGCATGGGCCCCCGCGCCCTGCAGTGGTTGATGCTCACTCACAGGCATGGGCCTTCCCCTGGCCCAGCTTTCCGGGCACCAGACCCTCTGGATGGCCGGGGGCTGGTGGACGAGTTCACGCACGGCCTGGCCCACATGTATTTGATCACGGAGTCTGTTCTTTTTTTTCCCCCCCAAAAGTTTGTCTATGGAGCTGGTGGGTGTTGGGGGTTGTCCATCTAAGCAGGGGGCAAAGCGGGGGTTTGAAAGGAGGGAGAGAGCAGGCCGGCAGGGCAGGGAAGAGGCGGGTGGCTGTGTGGCTTCTCTGCAGCTCTCCCGTGAGGCCCAGACCCAGACCCCGACGGCCCCGCCCTCAGCTGGCACCTCTGGGCCCTCCTGGAAGGGAGGCCTTTCCTGGGTGACGGTCCCAGCTGCCCAGAGGGGAGTGCCTTCCTCGTCAGCGGACTCTGCTCTGCACCCTCTCCCCCTCTCTCCCTCCCCCCTCCCCCCCTCCCTCCCATCTGCGCACAGCACCACATGGATCCTTCCAGCAACTTCTGCAACTACCGCACGGCCCTGCAGGGGGCCACACAGCGGTCCCAGATGGCCAACAGCAGCCGAGAGAAGATCGTGATTCCCGTGTTCAACCTTTTCGTGAAGGACATCTACTTCCTGCACAAGATCCACACCAACCACCTGCCCAACGGGCACGTCAACTTCAAGGTGAGCTCAGCCCGCCGGTCCCGAGGGAGGGGCGGCTGTCCCTGCACAGAGCCGGTGGGCCTCCCTCGGGGCCACGCCCGGGGCAGCAGGACCCACTGTGCGGGAGAGCGGCAGGCACGGCCCTGAGGCAGGGCCTGGAGGAGGGCAGCTCCAGGGCGGGTCACACTGTGTGACCTCGAGGTGTGAGGGCGCCCGCCCTGCTGGGTGGATGGCCTGGCTATGGGGCCTGGAGCCACAGCAGCCTCCATCGCCGGGACACTGGTCCCAGCACTGAGCCCACAGGCAGAATCAGGGCGGCTTAGGTGAGAGGGGCTGGAGCAGGAGGGAGGAGGCAGCAGAGCTCCAGAGGGAAGCGGAGGCCTGTCCTGCTGAGGGCAGGAGGGCAGGAGGGTGGGACAAAGGTGCAGGGGCAGCTGGGTGTCCAGGTCAGGGCGGGAGGGGGTTATGGATGCCCACATGGCTCCAAAGAGTGACATCAGGACGTGCTCACATTGGTGGTGCTGGTCTGGCTGGTTCCCTGCCTCAGCTGGGGGTCAGGGATTGGGGTCCCGGGGCAGGGGGGGTGCAGACGTGCCGCCAGCCTGATGGCCCAGCGGAGGGCAGGGCGGTGTGGGCTCTGGGCCGCCTGCCGGCTCTGACTGCCCGGGTGCTCCGGGGCCACGCGGTCGGCCGTGCAGAGCCGCGCCTCCCCGCCGGGCCGGGCGGGGAGCAGCACGCGGCCCTGATCCAATGACAGGGACGCCGTGGTCCTCTGCCCCTCCAGAAATTCTGGGAGATCTCCAGGCAGATCCACGAGTTCATGACATGGACACGGGTGGAGTGTCCCTTTGAAAAGGACAAGAAGATCCAGAACTACCTGCTCACGGCGCCCATCTACAGCGAGGAAGGTGAGGCACTCGCATGGCGGCCCCCACAGCGCCTGGCCCCGCTCCCTCACGGGGGGCTGATCACCATCCCCACCCACACGGGGGAAGCGCGTGAGGGTGGGGCTGTGGGCAGAGGAAGAGGAAGGGTGAGGACTGAGGAGACCAGGCTCCGGGGGCCACTGGAGAGCCAGGCGGGTTGGGGCCGGCGCTCAGAGCCAGGCACCAAGCAGAGCCTGAACAGGGGGCTGGGAGCTTGGGGCCTCGCAGGGCCCGGGGCCCCACACGGTGGAGATCTGTGGACGAGCCCTGCCGAGGCCCCTCCCCGTGGCCCAGGAGCCCCTTCTCAGCCGGCTGCGCCCGGCCTGAGGGCTGGAGAGGGGACGGGGGACGGCGGGTGGGCTGACTGCATGTGGACATGCGTCTGAGGGCCCCCGTCTCTCAGCACTCTTCATCGCCTCCTTCGAGAGCGAGGGGCCCGAGAACCACATGGAGAAGGACAGCTGGAAGAGCCTGAGGTAGGAGAGCTGCCGGGGCTGCCCGGGAGGGGAGAGACGGGATGGGAACACGGACCTGCCTTCCGAAAGGCAGCCGAGGGCCCCCACAGGCGGAGGAGGGGTCTAGGCAGCTGCCAGGGGCAGGAGGCTGAGGACCTGGGTCTGAAGGTGCCGCCCCCTCTCCCAATGGCCGGGCCCGGAGTCCCCCGGGGAGGGCCGCCGGCCGCTGACCCGTGCCGTCCCCTCTAGGACCACTCTCCTCAACAGAGCCTGAGCGTGGGCGCCGCCTGCGACCGAGACGCACACGAGAACCGAGCTTTAACCTTGACCCGGGTGGACGTGGGGCGGCCTCACTGGCTGGGGCCCGTTTTGTATATAACTTTTATGGAAAAAACAGTAATTATTTCACGCATCGACCTTTGGCGCAACGTGTTTTTGTTTCTTTTAAACACCAGGGCGGCGCCCTGGTTCAGGGAGGGGTGGGGAAGGCGTGTCATGGGAGACGGCATCCATGATCACATCTTGGCCTAACGGAGCGTAGATTTTTATTTTCTACTTTTTGATTATATTCACCTTATGAGAAAATATTTAAAAAAACAAACAAAAAACAACCAAAACCCACGTGAGCCCTGCCTGGGTGGACGCCCTTCCAGCCAGTGTCTCGGATGTCAGGGCTGGTGCCTTAGAGGGTCCCAGAGGGTGGCCCGCTCTGCCCAGGCCACTGCGCCCACGGCTGGCGGCGCCTGGCTGCAGAGCCGGGCCCGTGGAGCCTGGGCCCCCGGAGCCTGGGCCCACAGCCTGGGCCTCGAGCCTCCAGGTCCCCACAGGCCTCGGGAGGCCAGGAGGTCTCAGGCACACACTTCTGGAAGCAAACCTGAGTGCGGGCTTTCCAAAGTTTACATTTTCCTTTTCCGTTATCAGGGATTTCTGGGGCCGGGAGGGCGGCATACTTTTCTGTTGGAACATGTGTGGCCAAGCTTTCTTCAACTGCATTTTAGGAAAATAGAAAATCTAAAACTATGACAGGCGAGGGGGTGGGATTGTCAGGCTCCTCGGTGCAGAGGGAACACGCACTGCCCAGCCCTGGGAGGCCCTTTCCACTCCCGGCCGCGGGAGCACACGCCACTGGCCGCCCTGCCCCCACACACTGCGTGGCCCGCGCGGCTTTCCTCTGTGCGCGGTGTGTGCTCCGCACCGGGCTCCCCGCACGCCTGGCTCAGCAGAGCCTCCGGCGGGAGCCTGCCAGCTGCTCCCACGGCTCCCAGGACACCGGGAGGCGCGGGCCCGGCCGCAGGAAGGGTGGCCCTGTGGTCGCTGCTGCCGGTGGAGCGGGAATATTCACACTGTATTGTCACAGTGTTTTTGCACTTTCCAGACGTCCTAGATAGTACTTATTGTATATTGATAGTACATATCGCTTTGTTTATGTATTTGAGATAAAGGCTTAAACCCGAGAGTATATATTTGAATTCCGCGTTAGAGCATTTTCTGTCCACGTGTGAGGAGTTCCCCACCACCCCCGGGTCGTGGGGCCCGGTCCTGTGCTCACCTCACCTGTCTGTGCTGCCGCTTCACCCGCCCAGTTGGGTCCATCCCCTGACTGTGACGTGTTGGTGTTTTGAGATGAACTGTGAGCATCGAGCTGTACTGTGACACAGCATGTCAGCTGCTGGTGTGACTGGACATTCTTGCATCAATAAAAGGACATGTTGCTCCCCGCGTGTGCCTGTTCCCTGCAGCCGGGGCCCCTCGGCCTTTCCTACGGGAGCTGGCCACTCTCCTCCACACCGCATCCTGACACGGGCTGCCCAGGTGCAGAGTGCGGGACAGCTCCCACAGGGCCTGTTCCGTCCGGCGGTCCTCTGCTGAGACCCCAGGTGCCGGCAGCTGCTGTGCGACACGGCCATGGGAAGCCTGAAGAAGCCTGCTTACATGACACGGTCAGGGCACCTGCCCTGCAGGACCAGCCAAACACTCAAGGTCGCGGGCACTGTGGTCTCCTCCGGGCGGGGAAGCGGGCCCCTGAGCATCTCCCTGACGCGCCGTCTGCAGAACGCAGTCCTAGACGGGGCTGTGTCGTCATGAGCTGCCTTCAAGAGCACCCGTGGAGGCCTGTGGAACCGAAGGACAAGGAGACCAGGAGGGAAGCCGAGCTCCCACCTGCTCTTCTCCGGCCTGTCCCACTGGCCCCCCATCCCCACCCCGTTCACAGGGTCCGGGCCCCTCAGGTTCACGGTCAGAGCTCACCACACCTTCCCGCTCCCGAGAGCTAACGGCCCATGTAAGTGTGTGCAGGGTCTGCCGTGCGCACTAGACTAGCGCTGCCCACCAGCCCCTGTGCTGAGACGGAATTCCTGGGTCTGTGTCCTGCCAGCAGCTGGAGTGACACAGCAGCTGCGAGTGATGCAGCCGGGTGTTCATCTCGATAGCTGGTGGCCACTGTCCCAGACAGAAGGCTCCTCCTTCCCCGGGGCCCATGGTCAGCACACAGTAGGTGGCCAGGGCTTGTGGGGCAAACGAGAACACGGTGAAGATGTGAGTTTGGGGTAAAGGGCATCACGTTTTAGGTCTTTAAATCCAGTGGCATCCTGATTCCTTGATAAAGTGAATGTTGAGAGTTGGTACCCATCTCGTCTGGGAAGAGCAGCACATTTTGGGTCTGCGTCTGGAATGCGGAGCTTTGGCGGGGAATGGACAGCGGCTGGCCTGGGTGGCTGGTGCTCTCCCTGTCCCCCACAGCCCGGGAACTGGTTTGGAATTAATGCTCAGGGCCCCACTGCAACCCTGGGCGTCCAGGCAGCGGGGGAGGGGGGGCGGTTGTAGGAATTGGCTCCTGCTCACCCTCACAGCCCCCCTCCCAGGAACTGTCTTGTCACAGCACGCTCAAACCGGCCGCACGCCTGCCCCGTGCTGTTCCCACAGCCGCTGCAGGGAGTCTCCTTATGTCTTCCCGGCGGGGCAGGCTCTGCTGCTCCACCCCTGCCTCCCTCCCCGTTACCCGGCTGCCGCCTGCCTCCTGCACGCCCGTGGCTCTCGCGGTGGGAGCCCTGTGTGGCTAGAGGCCACCCTAGTGTGCCGTTGCTAACAACGTCATGTGATGACTGTCACCCCTCACTTCACACACGTTCCAGGCCCAGGTCTGCGTTACAGATCCTCTAAGCTAAGGATCTCCACTAAGGCCAAGGAGACCCCCGTGACAAACAGATTATTTGGGAAATATCCACCGACTCCCCCCGTAAGTAAAAGGGAGTCTCTCTCCTTAGGGAGGTGAGTCAGGCTGCGTGGAAGAAAATGTGTTTCAGTTCCCACTGCCCAGCAGAGTGCCTGTGGACAAGCTTTTTGCATTTTTATGTTTTCTCACGGTGACAATGGGATTACAGCTCCCCCTCGCACGGGGCTGCCGGTACGTTACACGGCGGAAAGTCCGCCCCCGCTCCTGGGCAGCAGTGGCGGCGGCTGGGGCTCGCAGAGGCACGTCTGCTGGCACCGAAAGCCGCGCCTCCCGCAGAGAGCAGGCGCTTCTGGGAAAAGCGAAGCGAAGGATTGCAAGTGCCCTTCCCAGAGAACGCCGGAGCCCGGCCAACACAAACACGCCGGAGCTCCGAAGAGGCACTTGCTGTTAAATTTAACCCGAGTATCAACATTTGCACAAACTGGGGAGTTAAACTCCAGTCTACATGGAAACCCATTCCCCACTCACAGGGCGGTAACCTCAGATTATGCCGACGCCATTTCTGTCATAACTCCCCAAAGGGAAGTCACGATACTGAGAGGAAGGTGAAGAGCTGCCAATCTCCCCACAAAGATCCCCCCAACCTAACCAGGTCCCTCGGGTACAGACCAGCAGCGGTGTGGGGAGGAAATGGCGTTGCCAAGGATGTGAGAGTCAGGCAGCCGTCCGTGTCTGCCAGTGTGGGGGACGGAGTGCTGGCCTGTGGAAATCAACAGATGTTTTGCGAAATTTAAAAGGTCCAAGTGGAGGCAGGAACCCAGAGGGGTGGGGACACTCCGAAACCGGCTCTTACCCTGAGGATAGAGAGAAAGGGCCTGCTTCAGAGGGTCAGATAGGAGGCCCGGGTGTTCTCTGCATAAGAGTGAAGTTGAACTAAAATACTCCACCTCAACCCTACCAAAGTTAAAAAAAAGTGGCCTGTTTTGAACCTCAGTATGAATGAAGAGGACAATTTTACCCCCAATAGTCTGTAACCACAAGTCAGGGAATTTTGCTACATTTTGCAACACAAATCACCTGGGTCAAAACACTTTAAGTTGAGAATGTGCTTAACGTGGCCCTGAAATGGCTCTGCCCCTAAGTGACGCAGTGGATTTGAACATTCTGACCTGTGTTCTAGTCTGAAACAGTGTCTCTCCTGAGCTGTGTCTAATCTGTTAAACCCACTCTTTGGATTTAAAAATTAATTTTCATTTCTAGAAGAACAAACAAAAGTGTATTTTTAAAATAAATATATTTTTTATTGATTTCAGAGAGTAAGAGAGAGTGAGTGAGAGAAACATCAACGATGAGAGAATCATCTATCAGCTGCCTCCTGCACATCCCACACTGGGGATTGGGCCCACAACCTAGGCACTTGCCCCGACCTGGAATCAAACCGTGACCTCCTGGTTAATAGATGCTTAACCACTGAGCCACACCTGCCAGGCCAAATAGAAATTATTTGGGAAGGGCACTTGCAATCCTTTGCTTCGCTTTTCCCAGAAGTGCCTGCTCTCTTCAGGAGGCTCTCTGCAGTGCCAGCAGAGGTGCCACTGCGAGCCCCCCAGCTGCCACCACTGCTGCCCAGGAGCCAGGTGCATACTTTCTGCCGTGTAACGTTACAACAAACTGATCCATTTGGTCACAATTCTTAAGAAATTACAGAATGTAACACAGAGGCAGACTGGGAAAAGTGAAGTTGGTTAAGAGACAAGTTCAACATATGTCATCAGGGTTACAGGAGAGGGAGAAGGAGGCGGAGACAATGGAATCGTAACAGCTGAGAATCTTTCAGAATTGATAAAAGGCAACAATCTAAGGAGCCCAGAGAATCTCAAGCAGGGTCAGAAAAAATTAGTCTGCACACAGACATGTCACAGTGACCGAGAACAGAGATAAAAAGGAAAAAAGGAGTTTGATTGCCTACAAAGGAGTATCATAGCTCACTTTACAACAGAAATAGTTGAAACCAGAAGACAATGAAGTAAACATCTGTATGCTAAAACAAAGTTTTCTAAGCTAGAATTTTAATATCCTTCAAAAAACAGTTTGAAAATAAG